GCACGAGGCCGCGAGCAACGTGATATCTCCGGCCCTGCCGTGGCCCAAAAACCCAACACAAAGGGCACCACCAGGCCCACTGAGCCCAGCTCCCCGAGCCATCTGCTGCTCGCGTATGGCCCGAGGATTGGCTTACATCCCGGGCGCTCGCCAAACGAAAACAAACCGACGGCAACGACTCCGCGCTTTTGCAGACGGCGGCGGAAAATGTTATAAGGGGGGCGGCGGCAACGATTTATACAAGACCCCCACCGCGCCCCCCCCCCCCCACCACCCCGTAAAACTGCAGAAGATTACATCCCGATTTTTCTCTGATAATTATTTTTACAGAACCTCTCCACTGCCTCTTCCCCCAACCACCTGCCCGCCCGCCAAACTCGGCATGCTTTGCGGCGTGTGCCACGGTGACGACCTAATGGTTGTTACGCCGAGTGGGGGGGGGCGTTTTTCCCGGTACCTGCCACGTACCGTACACGACAGAAGACAAGATAGGAGAGCGTGGCCGGCTGTCAAAACCCACCCCAGGCGGTACCGACAAGAGTGAAATACCTGCACGGGCCCGTGGACCACCAGCAGGGGATTGACTAAACAGCTGTATATATACACACACACACACGCACACATTTATTAATTATTTACCCACCGCTCTATACCACCGTGCGGCTGTGGCTAGCATGAGTCACCACCATTGCGCTATTAGCTGCCATACACCTGCGACCCCGTTTGTGGATGTGCGCACTGCACAAGCCGGATGATGTCACAGCCAGCACTTGCTGCCACAAAAACGTCTCTCGCCCAACCTCCGCCACTGCGGACCGGCCGCGGCCTCGTGCCAAGTGCGTTTCACCTGGCAGGCACCCCCCCTGCCCCCACCTCACTCCCATTATCATCCGTCAGCTTTTCCTGTGCTGCCTGTCAGCTGATAAAAAAAAACCCCCACCACCACCCACGCCGGTTTGCAAACGGCACCCCGGCAGTTATCGAGCCTTTCTAATGCATCACGTCTTGATACGACGTTCAAAACGTGTACGGACGGCCATGCATCACTCTTCACACAAACGCTGCGCCTATAAAGCACAAAGCGGTGCACGTGTACGTTTACGGGTTACGATAAGTAACACGGCTTGCGGCTTCAGGATGGGATGGGAGAAAATAAAGGCAATTTTGCTTCGTTTTTTGGTCGGCCAGCATTCGCGGGGATAATGCTGACTCGCATACCCCGGTTATGTGCAGTACTTATGGATGTAACTACCCCCACGATTTAGCCGTCACATTTTATCCTCACTATTTACGACATGTGCAACGAATCACCGCACGTATAAGTAACAATCATACACTCGTACTGCGTCTTTACAGTTTTTATACCTCAATACGTTCTGAATATTTATATCAGTAGTAGTGCATGGAGGTGATGTGCAGTGGTGAGCGCAGCGCACAAACGGCAACTTGAGTTCGATTCCCAGCCACAGCTCACGTCAGTTAGGAGCGATATCTGAACCGTACCGGCACTAACCCACACCGATCGGTGCAGTGAAATATGGTGATACAACTCCCATGGTCAAACACAACATGGGGAGGCTTTCGTCTAAGCATTTGACTGACAAAATGTTTTAAGTCATCGTTATTATATATTTAGAACACATATTCAATAGATGCATACCACTGTAAACATGACTAGAGATTGTATACGTTCATAGCGCTACATTTGATAATATATGCATTTTTAGACTCGCACCACTTGTAAATCCTGGAGGTTCGTATCACGGTAGATTCTGTAGGCTCCACACCACAGTAGATTATACATGCAACTACAAGGGCAAAAAAAAATCTATTCGCAAATCTAATTACGACCCCCCCCCCCCCCCCACAATTGTGACAATTCAAAGCATCACAGTGGTATTGGTGAATCATCAAACCCCTATCTGTACTGTACGTGGCAGTCCGTCCATATTCTGCACATATACATTTGGTTCACCTGATTAGAAGCAGGTGAAAGCCCCTACAACAGTTAAAAGGTATAAAACACGAGGTACGTATGTTGAACTTCATTCCCGCCGTACGTAGCCAACCTTGCTAATCGGAAATTGGAGGGTGCAGGGGAATAACAACAACAAACTAAACACAAAAAAACCTGTTCTAAAGAAATGAAGTGCAACAATGCACGAGGCGTTACACACACAATAAATTCTTCTTCTAAGCCAAAACGTCTCATTATTGCCTGGGGTCGGCCGCTCACATGTTCTCTCTCCACGTACAGTATTCACATTGGGTGCCTCTACTCTGGTCGGCATCCACTGATCCTGACATCTCTTTCCACCGCATCCTCCCTTCCTTCCACCTCTCCCCCCTCAGTCTCTCCCTCCTGTCCCTGTAAACCGGTGACATCTCTCAAGAAAGGAATGCCGTGAAAATAGCTGAAAACCGAGGGCAAAACGGGCGTTTACTCTTCTCTTTACGTGCTACCTCGCCTGTAAAAGCGGCATCACCGCCACGTGTCGGCGGCAGGAGCAGCCACACCTTTTCGGTGGTTGTGGGCACAGCAACTCGCTGCTGCCACTTCCTCCACCGGCCAGGAGGCAGTGGTGAGGAGCGAAGCAGCTCAATAAAATTTTGTTATGGCAGGGCATTGTGTATCTAACTGTAACGACACCACCTTCATTTACGATTGATGGTAGACCCGTGTTTTACCCACTGCCGGATGAATCCCTCCATCACGTCGTGAAAATAGTTGAAACCGAGGGCAAAACGGGCATACACTTTTTTCTTTTATGTGCACTCATGGCTGTAAAAGCGGCATCACAGCGAGCTGTCGGCGGCGGCAGCAGCCGCACCTTTTCAGCGGCTGTAGCCACAGCCACTCACTGCTGTTACGACAGGGCATTGTGTATCTCACTGCAACAACACTGCCTTCCATTTTCGTTTCATGGTAAATCCGTGTTTAACAAATGCAAGGTATTTCTTTAAAGGAAACAATAATTCACGATCGCCATCAGTCGTGGTGTACCCACTGCTGGATGAATGCCTCTCCCCAACGCCGTCACGATCGATGCCTCTCCTCCTGCACCTCATATGATCCCTGTCGATCCATTTCCACGGTGGCTATCCTCTCAGGTGTGTTCCTTCTTTCACCGGTCTCATCCATCAGCCAACATTCCCCCCATACCCCCCTTGTTGCGATGTGTTCCAAGCGAGCCAATTTTCCAAAACAGTCATCACAATGAGTTGTCTAGTCTGCTGATCCATGAGTTCCTCTTTCTGCTTCCAATCGTGCGTTTCTCCGTGCTGTTTTTGAACAACTTTCAGTTGTTCCATTTTTGTCTTGCCAGTGGCTTTATCAGTATAATGACAGACACCCATGAAGTTGACACTTGCCAACCAACTCAATGGGCGTTTTTTTTTGCGAACTTTACACGTGTGCACTTCTAAATTGTTGCAGGGCATGGGGTGCAGAGCATCTTCTCAGTTGCTTACATTCTGGGCACACATCTATTAGCTAATTCATCGATTAGAATCAAACCTCAACACTCGCGACACTTGCATCCAATCACGCTCGTGACGAACAATCATTTGCAATTCGTATGCATTGTAGGTCAATGGGTTCACGTGACCCCTGCGGCCACGAGAGATTCTACGTGCACGGCGATAGCAGCAACGGCGGCAACAACAACGTAAAATAATCACACTCGATCTCTGGATTTAATCGTCAACCTGAATTGTGATAATCACTATCATCAAATCGTCATGGGAGCAAACAATTACACAACTATTACATGCGCAGGGATTCATGGCCGGCATGCGCTGGACGGATTGAAAGTGGCACATCACATGATACTGCCCGAGGGACGGTCAGCAGCCAAAATGAGCTTTGCATAAACTACTGAGCACAGCGCCACGTCAAACCGTACAGCGCAATTGACTCAGCGACTTCCAGTCCGTTCCTCAATCATGCGTCTTTGAATGAGACGATAACTATGATGACGGTAATGAGCTCCATTTAACCAAATGGAAACCCATAAAGATACACATTTCTTTTGTGACTGCACTGTACGTGTTTGTATGAGTGATTATAAACTCATAACACAACACTGGGAGCGGTGTAGGGCATAGTCTGTGCTCCCCGCCTTCACCAACCCCGCGTTGATTTGCATGGTGGAATATGCTCAAATAACTCCCGTGAACTGCACGGCATGGGAAGGCTCCAATCCAATATGTTGTTCTTCATTTCATCTCGTCAAGGGGAATAAACCATCAAGCAAACTCCGGTCATCCTCAGTGGCTTTTAACTAACCATTGCGTGCTTTCATATGCGCTTCTGCAGCTGTCTGGAATGCTCTTCCTTCCGATATTAGGAAGCCATTGGAGCTATGCACTTTTAAATCTAGATTGAAAACTCATTTCTTTAGAACTGCTTTTTGTGTTTAGTTTGTTGTCCTTCCCCCCGCACCTCGGATTAGCATGGTTGGTTACGTACGGTGCGAAAAAAAATCAACATATATACGTATACGTAACTTGTTATTCATTGTGCAATGTTACAAGGGGTGCAACGATTCTCTCCGTCGTGATTCAGGGTCACGATTCATTTTTTTAAAAATCTATTCTCGTTTTACGATGATGGTGTACGGTAGTGTACACTAAGAATATAAACATACGAGAAGCTACTGTGTCGGGAAACATTCTGGCAGGACAATGATTTTGCCAGGACTCACTTAAACGCTGCGGCTCCATCCCTCCTGGCCTGAACGGGGTCTGGAGACGACTAATAAAACGAGTTGCCCTGGTGCGGCCATTAAGAGCTGTTAAGTACATCTTTACGGCCAGCGGGGCCATCTTGCCAACCACCCCCACCCCTCCGCCCTCCCGCCAGCACAGGGGTCCATGCAGTGCCCCCTTGGTGGTGACCTCTGACCCCGGCAACGGTCGGTTGCCAACACATTTGGCCGCCCGCCGCCCCTCTCGCCTCCCGCACGGTGGGGGTGGTGGGGGGGGAGGATGAGACTCACATTTGCTGCATGATGTCGTTGAGGAACACGCCGTCCACCAGCTTGGTGTACTCCGCCAAAGTGTCCTCCTCCGCCGCCGCCTCGTTTTTTGGGGAGAACGTCCTGACCTGGTTCCCATTCAAAACAGAGAAACAGCGGCGACGAAAGGGACGGAAAAAAAAGGATCCGTTAGAAGGCGTAGTGCCGCACCGCGGCTGCTGTTGTTGGCGTGTAGGGTTTTGCTAATAGGGGCAGGGTGATCCATTGTATCTGTACACCGCACCCGTGTCTATGCAAGCCTCGATTGAATACCATGTAAGCGATGAGCTCCCTGTCTGTCTTGCAGAGGAGAGCGGAGCTAGGAGATTTAATGAGTGAATTGAGATTGGTGGACAGACGTGTTAGACCCATGGAAATTGAATGTTTTTTGACGTCATTTTTGCACGTGTTGTTTGAGTGGTGTATCTGTAAATGAATCGCCCCGTGCATTGCCAACCCCACTTCCGTGTAATATAACAGGACTCTTAAAATGCGTCTACTTGCATTTTACGAGACGCAACGCGTGCGTCCGTAGCGACTGATATAGGGCTGTGTGATATAGCAACTAATGCGTGACATTACGTACCAAGTATATTAAGAGATGTATATTCAAGTGCATTTCCACACGAACATTTTTATGGAATAAATAGGCAGGGGTTGGTGAAGGCACAGTGGTCAACGCACTCCGCCGCCCCGCACACGGTCATCTCGGTTGGACTCCCGGCGACGGTCAACATCAGTGGCGAGTGATTTCTGAACCGGTCAAACCTCAACGGCCGATACAGTGGGGTTGAGGGCCTTCAACCCAGTCGTGAATTGACAAATGGATCTATACCTTCAATTTGATATACACACACATACATCGATTATGAAAAAAAGTATACGTGTTTGTGCAGTGTAAGGCATTCATTATAAGTTGTACACTATATGCGATTATCACGGTTGGCTACGTACGGTGCGAAAGAAGTTCAACAATGCATCACATTCGTGCTCTGAACCAAGCCAACCCCTGTTCGATTCCTGGCTACGGCTAACATCAGTGGCGAGAAGTAATATCTGATCTGGTCTTTGCCCAAAACCTCCCGTGTCGCTATCAATAACCAGCACTGGCCAAGCGTGGGGAAGTATGGTCATGTAACCTCCCCCCCCTCCCCCATGGACTGCCACAGTGTGAAGATGCCTTCGACCAGCAGTAGATTTTGTCTTGAACGTTAATGTTATTCCACGCTTTATTTGTACGTTAGGTGCGCTGTGTATACGGTAGAGAGTGTATCAAGGCGTGGTGGTGTACAGCTCAGTGTGCACGCAAGGTTTGTGTCCATAGCAACGTGATCCAAGCACAGAGTTCCTGTATATCATCCAGAAACAATGTATAACACAGGAGGAGATATTTATGACATACACATATATTTAAATAATATTCGAATCACAATATATTGTACCGAATAATTGTTGTTTTCGTGTTTAAATGTGAATTGGGTGAACTGTATATTGCGTAATATTGTATACGGGCAAGCCATTTGTGCAAATATTGGGTTCATACACAGATTATAAAATGCAGTACTTATGTATACGGTGTGTATGTAAAAGCGTATAGGGGAAATGTGCATTGCGTTGATGTAATTACAAATAAACAGCGTCTTGTTGTATTATACATTTTACTTTGCGGATTTCTCTTCCGTTCCGGTTTTATTTGTGAACGGCCACGTGTCTGAGACCCTTGTCATCGTTACCCGCTGTTGACACTAAATAAAGACACGGAAAACATAAAACCCACTCTCCACCGCACGTTCGTCAACAACACGATGTGGCCAGACGCGATCGCTGAAACGTCGGCTACTGCTGTTGCATCGGCAGCTGCATCACGTTTGACTCGTGTGCACGCACCGTACTGTATAGCCAATCCACTGCTGGATGATCGCCCCGCTTTTGAGTCTGTACATACTGGGTACAGTATTCGGTGTCGGGTGACAGCTGTATAAATGACGACACGTTAACAAGCGACCATTGCGTTTAGTGCACCGCGGTCAAATCAACTAAAGTGCGATCAATGACTTTAAATCGCGATATAGAGTCCGTCACGATGGCCATGAAAAGATTGTGTGCGTTCGATTTACACGTGCTGTGTACTGTACCGTGTATGTGGACTGTGCAGTTGACGCAGTCATAGCAACGGATCGTACACAACACGACAGCCGTGTACTTTATGCGACACCGCATTATGTTGCGCATTACATTCGTGCATACATGACAATTATTATTACCACGCGTGATTATTATTAATTGGTGTAAATGTCGTGTGGAGCGGTGTACGGCGTATCCATGGCAACCGATACACGGCACATCACTTAATGTATATAGCATCGCACGTTGCATTTATTTGCACTGCCAAACATTACTGCACAACCGTGTGTGTACACACACACACGATTGTTATTACCCGTGACTTGTATCGAAATATATTGTGCATAATGAGCAGTGCAACGCGTCCCTGGCAACTGATGCACGACAAGTCGCAGCGCTCCGTACGACTCGTCGCTTCTACGATGTATTCACCATGCATTTTGACGCGCACTGTAAAACATTAAAATAGAAAAAAATAATGCGTGTACATGGCGTACACGACTGTTATAACTCCGATTGTTAACACGACTACCACGATGTAGAGCGAGCAGGACACGCGTCCATGGCAACTGATGCACGGCACAGTACCCCCTACACCACACACACACGCCACATAGCACTTACAGCCGCAAAAAAAATTCATCGTGAAAACATCACCGCATTAAACCTACGTGCCCTAACGTCTTAACCATACGTGCGTACAATCGATGGGGGAGCCCACGAACTACAACTACTACTCACCCATGTGGCGAGCGGTGTCCCCATGAATTCCTCCATTGCAGACGATCCACCCTCGGCCTCCATCGCTCCCTTTTCCCCGTCTCTCTTCCTCTTCTCTCCCAACAACGAACTACCAAATATCGCTCCTCCTCACCACCACCACCGCCGCCGCCGTCGTCGCCGCCGTCATCTTCACCAGCACATCTTAAACCACCATCGGACGGAGGCTCTCGACCCCGCGCGCCCCGCGTCTCCCACCCCGAACTCGCCGGCGCGGACGGCGGCTGCGGCACCGTTAGGTGCACAATGGGGGCCCCAGGGCGGGCGGTTCGCTATTCAAATTCCCATTTGAATCACTCGTCTCGCTCTCGCTATCAACGAATCGAATGAGAAAACGCGCGATCACCACCCACCCACCACCACCGCGACTACCCAGCCAGCCCGCCCGCCTTCGTGTCCCGAGGCTTCACCCTTTCACAAGGGGGGGTGGGGGGCGAGGTCGTCACTGCCACCGCCTACTGCGGGAGAACGAGCGATTTATTTCGGTTAAGTTATCGACGAGACTTAGGTGGGTGGGTGGGTAGGGGGGCTACAAGAAGAACAAAACCAAACCACATCAGCAGCCCGCGGGCGAGTTGCTTAGGCGCGCAGGCACCGCTGGTGTGTGGGAGAGGGCGGAGCGGGGACCCCGTGGGTGGGAAGCTCCCGAGGGGCGGTGACGCCAGGGATGATTGACGTGGCCCGTTGGTATAAGACCCGCCCCCCCACCTCCCACCCACCACCACCCCCACCCACCTACCACCCCCCCACCACCACCCCCACCCACCTACCACCCCACCACCCCTACCCACCAACCACCCCCCCCCCACCTCCCCACCCACCTCCCACCCACCACCCCCCCACCCACCTACCACCCACCCCCCACTATGGGATTCTCGCTTATGGTAATATGAATACTATATGGGCCATATAAGTGTGTTTAAATATACGGTATCGTGGACTTGCCGGTGACTGGTAACCCATAAACCTGTCAACCCACACGGTTTTTAAACCCGTATTCTTGTGTAGTGAGCGGCTTCCGAGACACGTCGTGTAGAAGGCTTCTTATTTATTAGGAACACACTGGCCCATACATTTATGTAACGCAGCTACACATCGCCGACCCTATCACACAACTCCATCGTCGGCGTACAACTACGCAGCTGTCCGACTAGCGCAGCGACGATGAGAGCCTTGCAGAAGATCGGCCACGTGGTCGAACGACGGAGAGCGATGATGGCGAGCAGCGACACAGCCAGGACCCACAACAGCACCTAACCTCTGGTTCGGTCCCCTTTATATACACCCCGGCGCGGCCAAGCCCCGCCTCCGGTCACGCCCACTTCCAGAACCTTCAAGCAGGTTCCCGGAGCTTCGACTGACTCCGCCTTTCACCTTTACCCCAGATACGCCCCCCTCATAATTAGGCATTACGTAATATACCCATAACCGCGATTACCCCTTCAGGCCGGCAGGTGGCACCCTGTCATTACACTTGTACAGAGAAATGTATTTTTCAGGTCCATACGGCGTACAGCCGTTTTAATACGGGCAGAAAAAATGGGTACATTTGTTTGCGTGTTTCCCTTGTGATGGGGACTTTGTAGGATGAACATTGAGATTTATAAGAGCACGGGGTGACCAATAAGGTCTGAATTTGTTTGGAATAAGGTAGGCACTGGTAAGGGGTTGACAGCAGTGTCAAGATTGGCCCCTATATTGAGGAGTCTCGTGAAGGACGCTACTACTGGGCAGTTGGAAGGCAGTCACCCTCCAACAACAACAACGCTCACAACAACGACGAGCGGAGCGCCGGGCGGTTAAATACAGCAAAGTTGGCACATAAGGGGGGGTTACAGCTGGTCGCATCTGCCAGTCATTTCGGTCGGTCAACCCATGGCGCCTGCTGGGTCACCGTCCCATGACCTCCTTGCCAGCAGAGAGACTTTGACACTTCACGTGGCCTCGAAGTGCACCTGGCCTGGCACCATAGGCGTCACCGTGACTTCGTGGCGAATAGCGGGTATTGGTGTTGTTACTCGATCCAGTAGCGTGACTAACGTGGGGCAGGCAGGGGGGTGCCTTGCCCTCCCTCCCCCCCGTGGCCAAAGCTACGATATTAGTTTTCAACAAAAGCGTAAAAGAACAACAACAATTATTTAAAAGGCGGTTTGCAGTGTTCGAGACCGTGAGCGTAACGACGTGATTAGCCAAGAGGAGTCCAAGATGTTGTAATATAGCATCTAGGTGCCACCGTGCGAGACAAATCAAATATTGGGGGGGCACTTGACCGATTGCTGCACCCCCCCCCCCGCCCTGAGCTGAAACGTCGTTACCCGGGCCACTGATTATACGTGTTATTTTATTTGTTACACGGATGATCCCGTTTAGCCAGTTGCCCGGTTATTTTTACAAGGGGGAATCCGTAGTGCGGTGAGTATAACAACAAAGACAACAAAAAAACGTCAATATTGCAGGGAACGAGGATATAGTTCTATTCAAGAATATTGCACAACTCAGCAAAACAAATATGAACCACACTATGGCTATACTCTTTGGTTATTTCGGTAAAGTCACGTAGGTAGATCTATTATTATTATTTTATACGTGACTTGACCGAAAGAACGACGATTCAATTGCAACACAAGCGGTCATCCTCACATGGAAAAAAAAATCCAGCAGTGAAACTGGTAAAGTCAACAGTGGAACTGCTGACTTTACCGAAAGAACCAACGAGTACGGATTCCTGCAGTCACGAAAGCTTCAAATCAACACACTATGGCCCTTCAACGGAGGATGACGACTCAAATCAAAACTATACGAACTATATTACTCCTTAAGTCCTTTCGTAGTGGCCGGCAGACCTAAATATTGACATTCAGCTCAGAATCTTTATTTATCCTGGATAAATCCGACGAGCTGTGAAGCTCTTGTTGACAGATGTCCAGTAAGGGGCGGGTCAGAGAGTTACAACAAGAAACAGCGCAACAAAAGAACGATCGGAGTGCAGAGCTTATGATGAACACATTGCTGCCATCATACACAAAAATAGAATATGAATACTGTATATTGTCATACGCTAAAATAGAAAACATGAGCGTTCCAATTGGGGTCCTTAAAGCTTCTTAAATGGAATAGCACTTTTTTGTTCAAATACTTTTTAAATTGTTATAATTTGGAATTTTTGTCAGCTTCTTGGTGAGCGTGTGAAAGTAAATGTTACATCTTGTTACGTGAATCGTCATGTTGGTGCTGAATGTTTAATCTATTTAGTGATTTAAGAAAGCGGGAGATGATTGGGTGCATTATAATTTACATCGTCACGTGATCGGCTAGGGGGAGGCTTTCATGCAGCAGTGGCTGGATGACTTTAAATGTTTATGATTTTGCGTTTTTGCTTTGTTTAAAATGCAGTGAATCCAATTGTATACAGTACTTTTGAAATTTCATTAGCTTTTACTTTAAGAAGTACTGTATATAACAACATTTAGTGGGACATGTAATTGTCAATTGCAAGTGTCTGTAAATTGTAGGTAGATTATAATACTATATCCTTAGTTCTTTCGGTAAAGTCACGTTGAAGGGAAACAACAAAATAATAATATATATAAAACAATAAAAATTCTCACGACGTTTCGACCATAACACAAACGGTCGTCTTCAGGTGTGTTGGTTTGCATTATATATATTTTATTATTTTGTTGTTTCCCTTCAACGTGACTTTACCGAAAGAACTAAGAATATGAATTACTGCAGTCACGAAAGCTTTAAATCAAAATTTAGATTATAATACTTTTACAGACATACCAATTGGCTTCTTTTAAATGCATTATTCCATCAGTCTATAATGTTTTACTGTACTGTGTATGCATTCCTTTTAAGGCTGTGTGATTGATTAATGCTGTTGGGTTAATAAAAGTTTCTGCCGAATAATTTTATATTTTCACACAATAATTAATCGTCTAACTTTTCTAAAATCTAAGATTTTCTGTTTCGATATTTTGGATCTCATTTAAATTTAACGTTTTAAAAAGTATGTTGTTATATGGTCAACATTGCCCACTGGCGGACACATCAACAACTGCCTATCTAGACGCCTATTGTAGTTCGCTGTACCCCAGCCATTTGGTGCATCTCTATCGCTGGACGAGGGGTCTCCCTTTGCACGATAAAATTAACATGTTTTTATTTTACCACGTAAAGCCCTCTGAGCTTTATAAATATTTTTCAGAAGTGACCTGGCGGTAAATAATGATAGCTCAAAGAAGTGGCTTGTCATCGCGTGGAAATTGACCGCAGCCAAATAGTCTGAACGCATGCTGGTTATAAACGTGGGTGGAAAAACCCCGGAGTAAAATCCACGCGACCACAGGGAGAGACATGAAAACTCCAAATAAACAACAGGCCAAGGTCGTGATCGAACTCACGACTTATGGACACCAGGCGAGGTAGTTAACATCTCGCCATCGTGCCACCCGACGTGGTGCGGGGTCGTGGGGGTTAGTTGACCATACATCCATCACGCAGGTCAGTGAGGGCTGGAGAAGGCGGGAGCATCTAATTACGGCATAATGGATTCTGCTGCACTTCCCCCTTAGCTGACTTTCCTTTGCACCTCCGATTAAGCACGGTTGGCTACTTTCGGTGCGAAATAAGTTCAACATACATAGGTAGCCTATCAGTAGCAGACAACACCTGACAACACGTTCATCCAAAGCACTATCCAGGCTCAACCTTGCTTAGATTTGGTAATTGGCAGTCGGTTTGTTGATGTCTGATGATGGCCTCGTTGACGTATAATGATTTGACTCCTGAACTTGAATAATTTTTAGATTTAGTTTTTCACACAAATTATGTGAAAATCCCTTTCCGTGGGCGCCAATGTGCATTACCCTGAGTCGCCAGAAGACAGTACAGCAAGTGGACTAATCACTGTTTCCATCTGTACGGGGATAGAGCGTTGTCCCCTCACGCGCACGGGGTTTCTCCAGATGCTTGGGTTTCCTCCCACATATATAAATACATTAGTCGTCCGAAAACACCTTAAAATAAAAAAAAACAAAGCAGGACCCGGGAAAGCCACACTAAGTAAATTAATGAAGCGCATAACTATATATGAGAAAACATGAAAATACCATAGTAATAGGTTTTACCCTTATTACTGGCACAAAAACTGACACCTTTATTCAAGGCATCATGTTTGCAATAACCACAACACAAGCAGTCAAAATGCAAACAAAAGAGACAACTCTGATAATAATATGCACTGTCTTTGAATTTGATTGGTCCACACCCAAGACGGCTTTTCTTAGAGCCTAGTCTCCACTGGTGTTGGACCAGAAGACGCCAAAAGGCGTACAACTCAAAAACAGCGCACTATCAGAGTATTGAGGGCTCGGAGTGAGCATTTACATTATGAGACCTCCTTTGCCAGTAACAAGATATAGTAATAGGTTTTACCCTTTTAACTGGCACAAAAACTGACACCTTTATTCAAGGCATCATGTTTGCAATAACCACAACACAAGCAGTCAAAATGCAAACAAAGGTGTCAGTTTTTGTGCCAGTTAAAAGGGTAAAATCTATTACTATATCTTGTTACTGGCAAAGGTCTTATAATGTAAATGCTCACCCCGAGCCCTCAACTCTGATAGTGCGCTGTTTTTGAGTTGTACGCCTTTTGGCGTCTTCTGGTCCAACACCAGTGGAGACTAGGCTCTAAGAAAAGCCGTCTCGGATGTGGACCAATCAAATTCAAGGACAGTGCATATTATTATCAGTTCTCTTTTGTTTGCATTTTGACTGCTTGTGTTGTGGTTATTGCAAGCATGATGCCTTGAATAAAGGTGTCAGTTTTTGTGCCAGTTAAAAGGGTAAAACCTATTACTATATTTTGTTACTGGCAAAGGAGGTCTCATAATGAAAATACCAGAATACTGCCATCAAAGTTCCTTATCGTTTGACTTGTTTTAACTTAAGCTTGGTCAGAATACAAAATACATTTGCCCAAATCATATTATTAGAAAACGCAAACCATAGAATATGTAATTCATTCACCAAACAATAGAAAATACCGACGTGAAATTTAACTTAAGTAATCGTAGAAATTGGTCTGTGTCAATATACGTTAATGCCTAAGGCCATGAAGCAATGGCCCTCTTGGACCAATGTCTTACATTAGCATTGGGTTAATCAGCTAAACCCTGGCCAAGTGTTAACTTTTCCTGAGCCTTGTCATTCACCAACACCACGGGGCTCCGATTTAGCGGAGAAATGGCTAAATTAACCCGAGATCACATTGGCAGTGGTGCACAGGCACAAACTCTTGCTACATTCGTAATCAACAGTGCTGTATAAATACATCATACTGCATCAGGATAACATTTTTGGATATGGGTATCTCTTGTATGAGAAACCAAGCCAGTGCTCAAAAGGTAAGCTCATTCACTTCCTGCCTTTTTTTAATATAAGACAGTGCTTTGTCAATGACGGTGAGATGTTGATGGTCTCCGATTGTGCACCATTGCCAAAGAGTGGGACCTAAAAATTCAACCGAATGTTGTTTTTCTTTAAAGCTTTCGTGACTGCAGGGATTCATATTCTTGGTTCTTTCGGTAAAGTCACGTAGAAGGGAAACAATAAAATAAAAATATAAAACAATAAAATAATAAAAAATATAAAACAATGAAATTCTCAACACAAGCAACGACACAAGCAATCATCATCAGGTGTGAAAACCACAGCAAGAAAATTAATGTTGTTTGTTGCCCACAACAATGCACAGCGGTATTACGTGAAGTAAAAAAAAGACGCAAACTTACGAAAACTCATTATGGCCACCACCAGTCCAAGAGGACTCTGTTCTTGGTATATCATTGACAAAATTAAGTTATCAAAGGCTTCTTGAAAGCCATCAAGGCTCAATGAAAACCATTTCACACACCGACTGAAACTTGAGTTTTATTGTGGCAATGGGCAAATGGAAATTTTTAAAACAGGACAAAAGCCGATCGTATAATTCTTTCTTTTAAATTTCTTCACTGCGACAGTGAACACAAAACACTTCATTCTACAAATAACTGCACTATTACATTATTTTTAAACGCTCGCAGAAATAAAACTATACATTGTTATGACTGTATGCTGGTTATTTTACATGTTATTCTTGGTACAAACTACATGGAATTAATTTAAAACAATCAGCTACTTTTTTCAGTCCCAAGCATGTTCAACACATGTAGAAAAAAGTATTATTAAAAACACAAAGCCACACCAATCAAAAAACCGCTATTTTTTTTTCTTTTTTTGGGATGTATATTGACTGATCACGAAATCAACGGCAAAATCTGCATTGGAAATAAAAGCGAACATTATGCACCACTGGGATCAAATGACTTGCAACTCAAAACAGACGGTTCTTGGAGCAATTGGGGTGAAGTTTTCCACGCAACTTGGACAAAAAAAAACATTTTAAACAGAACTTCGAAGGCAATCAATTTTGTACAATGTACATACATTTATAAAATAATATTAATAATCCTAACACTTGCAGTGTTGTGGATCTGTACATTTCATGTTTGATTTGATTGCAAGGATTGCCTTAACTGTGTGAATAAAGGGTTTGTATATTACATGCCACCGTCGATACTAAAAACACTATATTCTTGGTTCTTTCGGTAAAGTCACGTAGAAGGAAAACAATAAAATAATAAAAATATATTTTTATTATTTTAATAAAAATATATTTTTATATATTTGTATTATTTTAACAAAAATATATATTTTTTATTTTATTGTTTCCCTTCTAAGTGGTGACTTTCCCGAAAGAACCAAGAATATGAATCCCTGCAGTCACGAAAGCTTTAAATCAAAACTAAAAACACTGTTTCTGTAAGGATGTACAAAATTTAGTTGACCAAGTGCAGCCAGCAGTTTCAGTTTTAAAAATAAATGTGTAGAAAAATGTATTTGTCCTAACCAGGTTCGTAAAAGATTCTGATGACTAATTAGTTGTGGGAGTTTCTCAGCGGTCTTTTCTCGTTTGTGACATTTCACCGGTCTTAGGGCATTCACTGCAATCACGCATTCAACATAAGTCAATAGCACCTCTTGAGCTGATCATAAAAATCAGTCTCTCAATGAAATGACTGCAAGTTGGTGTCTCTCTGAAAATAGCCTTTATTTCAAATTTTGCTTTACAAATACCGGTAATGTGATGCAATTCTAACCCAATCTAAGTCGCACCAATTCCATCGATCGGCAATCACGAGCAAAACTTGACGCTCAACTGCCAACAAAGAAGGGAAAACACTTGAAGCTGCGTCAGGAACAGGTGGCTCCCATGGATTGGGTTCTCAAAACTGGATCGTGACAAGACCAGTTTTGCGAAACGATGACAAGTGGCAAAAGATAGTCGCATTGTGACCGACCTTCAAGCGCAACAGGGCATGCATATCAAAAGTGTTCAAAATGTTCCTTTAAATACATATTATAGGGACTGATTGTAGGGCTTTCAGAGAGATCACAACTGGTGACATTTTTTCTTAAACGAGGTTCACGAAGATTTATGCATTATGCAACGGATAGAGACAGTTTCCAAAATTTGTTGCAGAAATGGGCAGGAAGTTTTAAAGTCTGTCAAGTGAACCAACTGCTACTGATCACTAATTTTAACACGTAATCTGCACAACAAATAGTAAAATTGGTCCCGAACACACAAGACACCAGGGCCAGCAGTGGTTTTTATGCTAAACTTTTACAGTATTTTAAAATGAAGGATTATTGATTAAAATTTAATAAAAGTGAGTGAATAAAAAAGCTGCCCCTACCCAAACCTAACCCTCCCCCCCCATCATTTAAATCCTTCAATTAAATCAATTTGGAATTTTGTCATTAAAAGGGACACTGTTTAAATACGCAACCCTTGTGACGCATCCGCAAGATGAATAGTTTTCATTTGAGTAGAAAGTTTACTACGCACCAAGAGCTGGGACTGGCATCAAACATGCTTCACAGGAACCGTGCTTATCACCCTGAGTATAGTGTTCGGAGATCATCGCACACAAAAAAACGCACACAAGATCTGTCTTGTCAGCGCTTCAAGCAGAAATTGGCACTTGACTTGCAACACAGAACAGCTGCTGGTCAATGCAAAAAGTGACTGCAGTGCTGCAAACGCACCCTGCCCCTCCTTCCGTTTTCTTTAATTTAAAGTGTATTTTTCCGCTGATGCTGGTAAGGGAAGGTGACAGGTTTTTTTTGTTTTGCTTTATTTCTTCGTTTCTTCTTTTGTAATTTCTTTAAAACGTCGATCTCACTTGCACTGGATGCTGCCGAGCACACTAAATCCTGGAGTTCCTGCCTCCCGTCGGTTGTGGAAAGTTGCGGCAGGGCGCAACCGCCGTTATGGCTCCAAACGAGGCCGTTTTGCAACCGATTCTTCCATTGCCTCCCCCTCTTTGTCGTCTTCCTCCTCGTCCTCCTCGTCCTCGTCATCCGGGTAGTCCACGAGCCCGAGACTTCCCTGCGCCACGATTATGGTCGGACACCAACGGGGGAGGGGGGGGCGGGGCGAGAGGAGGCAAAAACGTTCACGGAAATGGTGAACAGCTGCAAGTGATTCAAGGGTCAATTCGTACGTTAAAATGTATTTTGCTCTCTATACATGCACAGAAAGGTACCTGAAAATCGACAATTTAAAATGTATACAAGCTATATAATAAAAACTGTACAAAAAACAAGAAACAATAAAAAGATGGTCAAAAAGGGACAAACTATTCTTGAATTGAACCATGACTCCAAAATCTTGACAATTCATCACACTGCTGTGGAAAGGGGAGGGGAGGAGTGTGAATCATTTGCATGCCTTTTTTTTTGACAGTGTTACACAGCTCTCTACGAGACCATCAACTTGCACTTCTTCATCTCATCACGCGAGGCATATAGCAAAACTGAAGAATAACTGGTTGAAAAAAGAAATATATATATAAGAAAACAAAACTAATTTCGTCTGCCAGCAACCAATCTGGGAGCAGGTATAATTAATTACGAAGAGAGACCCTCGGGGTTGTCTCAGTCTGCACGCCGCGCGGGCCGACTTGCCTTGGTGGCGGCGGTGGCGGGGATGGCGACGCCGACACTGCCTCCGATCGCCTCCACGCTCGTGCCGTCGGGTCCTGTGGTTGAGTCCGGGGAGAGCGATTCGTTGGGCGACGTTGCCTGAGCGCACGACAGCGGGGACTCGGGGCTCCCGCCACCGTCGCTGCTGTTGCCGCTGCTGTTGCCGCTGCTGCTGCTGCTGCTGTTGCCACTGCTGTTGCTGCCGCTCCCGGGGCTGTCCGTGTAGACCGCGGCGTGCGCTGTGGCGTCGTCACCGGTGCCACTGCTGCATTCGGGCATGGGGGCATCCTCCTCCTCGGGGGAGTTGCGGCCTTTGGGGGACTTGCTCTCTGGCTCAGGGCTGTCGGCGTCCTCTTTGCAAGGTAACAGCGTATCTTTTTCTAAGCATTCTGCTGGATGGACATCGATAAATAAATGTAACTAACAAAGCAAAAAGGCAATTTGCATTCATGATAGGATGTAACAATTATGGAGATTATCTCGAAGAGATATGTACCTATGTGGTGCGTGTAATGGTGTGTTGGATGAGCTTAATGCGTAAGTATTGTGAAAAGACTTAAAAACCTGTCGGCAGCATTGTAGTGAAGCCACAATCACGGATATAGTATAAACACACCGGAGTAACTCCACAACGACGACATTATTTAAGGGTTAAAAAAAGATATCTTATTACTGAAACTTCAGAGTTGTAATACATGCACCCTGAGGTGTACAAGAATTGTGTTATGGACTGCCTTTCATACTTACCCAAACCAACAAAAGTTAATGCTTTATTTTTAACAAAATGCATTTTGCTGGCAAAATGTTTTATAACCAAGCCCCTTTTGAATGCCGCCAAAAATAACTTCAGAACCAAATTAATTAAATTAGTAATCTCATTTCATGTACACATCAACCACCTTGAAATTCCATTCAAACTAAGAATTCCTCAGAAAGGGAGTCTTGGTTAACTCGAGTTCGGTGGGACGGTTGCTATGACTTTCTGCGTAACTTTTTCCAATGTAACATTTAAACTCATTTGGATGGCTGCCTGAGGACCCCGATAGAGTTCCTGCAAAAGCTTAGGATTCTCTGCATATAGCGACAAGTGCCAGGGGCGAGGGATTACGACGTGCGTGCTGACATTTAATGTAGGAAAAACACAATGGCCTACACTTGCGAATTACACCACTGGGTCTTTAATATCCACATCACAGCAGGCGAATGTGGTTTGGTAATAATGAAATGGATGCAAATCATGATACTACAATGGCAGGAGTGGACAATGGGCCAGCTGTGCAACAGGCCGACAAAGGCTTGCATGCCACACGTGGCAGGGAAAGGCAGCCGGGCGCAGCGGTGGCACCTTCTTTGGTGTCGGTTAAGCTCTCCTCTTTGTCGTGCTCTGTCCCCGCCTGTTTGGAGTGGGGGACGACCGCCTCACCCTCTTCCCCCTCCTCGCTCTCTGCCTCGCCGTTCCACAGCTCGTCCGAGTCGTCCAGAGCACGAGGGTCACGTGCCCCGGCACCGTTGCGGAATATCGACGCTCCGATGCTTTGAATTGAGAGATTGTGAAATTAATTACATGAGATGCATCAAACACCATGAAATGGATTCGTGTAACGATGTTTTGTCTAATTTATACTGTTTTGCACCGTCTAGTCTGCAGCGTGCATTACATTTTCACCATTTCACCTGAACCATGCTGTGCTCCGTCAACTGTAATATATCATTTGACCTGCCTGCAATGTTTCATATTTCGTCTCGTATGTAAGGTCTCTATTTTTTGGTCTTGAGCAATCACGCAATTTGCCCAAAGAGGGAAAAAATGGTATTCAATTATGCACAAATCACAATGTATTCTTATACCCATGACCAGATGCATGTATTGCCTACTAATCGAACGCTGCCAGATCAGTAAATCAATCATCTGCCAACAGACACCGTAAACAAACACATCATCCCGTATAATCAACAATTTGGTCGCATCGCAGCGAGCTCACCTGCCGGAGAGCTTCTGGCTCGTATGCCGCCCGCGCTCCTGCTCATAGCAAAGCTTCAGGGCACGGAACGTCTGCACGTAGTCCACGTCTTCCAGCGCCTTGCAGAAGTTCTCCACCACGTGCACCGTAAGCGACTTGATGTTCTCCTAACAGCACAATTTTCAGGTTAGAGAGCCAGCCAATACACAGAGCTGGGCTGCACAGGGATCCGAGCACTGATGCGGCACTGCCAAGAACCTGGGTATGAATTTAGATTTCAAGTCGTTTGCAATTATATCAGATTGTCAACTTTTTGCAAGTTGACGATTTTGGCCTGGTCAACCTTGACGCCACAAAAAAAAACTCATCACATTAAATTTGATTTTCCACTTAATTTGGTCTATTCCAGCTCTCACTCAAACGTTTGGTTTAATTGAAAATGTGAAGAATAATCTTTGAAGGGTGTTAAAAGGTGTGCCCCAAATTTAGTTTGAGGTCTAATGAAATGACTTCAGAAAAGCTCTGCGATGTCATCTTCCGGGTTCTGTTCTCCGACACAGGGTGATGAACTGCAAGCAGTAGAGTTCCGAATAGAATCTTCACCTCCTGACATGACGCGATATTTCGGAACTACTATTGTAACCGTGTCATTTATAACAGATTGTATTCACAGTGGAATTGTAATTTCGGTTAACAATGCTGCTGTAATTGTAATTATAATTCACCCGAGGTGTGCATGATGCCGATAACCACAATTACAATAGTTTCGCCCGTCTCTCTCTCACCACTCGGATGAACTCGAAGATCTCGATGATGGCAGAGTTGAGCAGGTTGTAGCGGGGGCCGTTGCTCATGAACACCTTGATGACGGGCTCAAAGAGGTTTCCCCGAAGGATGTAGCGGTTGTAGAACTCGTCCTTCATGCCCACGATCCTCCTCATGAAGCGCAGTGCACCTGGGAAGGGATTATTGTCAGGTGATCATGCTAACGATGGTGATGGGACACCTTTCAAATCTGCAGCAGCATCATGGCATGGTTTTTCTCCCTACTGTTAGACCTTACAATTTGTACGTACGCAGCCCTTTTGGCAATACACTGCTGGATGATGGCCATCCCACACCGTATGGGTGGTGGAAATTATTTGACCATACTTTACCTTGATGGTCGGTATAGGTTGAAGGTGGCGACTTAGAAGTGAGTAATGTGAGTATACAACAATGGATTTTGCTATACTGCCTTCAGCAGTCCCCCAGTCTAAAGCCTATAGCACCTGTCATGCATGGTGGTCAACCATTCAAGTACTATTCAGGCTCATACCCACTTTGCTTCAGAGGTCTGACAAGCTGAAGCATATTCGAGGTCATTTAATCACATGTACTTCAGTCGACAATTACATAAGGTTAAAGATGACTAGAGTTTAAACACGAATGATGTTACTCCCACACAATTGAATGTCAATGCAATGTCACCAGAGCGCACTTTGGTGGGGCGCTTGCTCATAACTTGTCTTTTTTCTTGATTAACAAAGCTTCCAAATTGTTTCAGGCAACCCAGGAACTATATATTGGGTACATTTAAGAGAGTATTTTAAATGGGATGCATCTTCGTTTAATAACCAAGTATGATGCTCTAAAAATAGCTGTTCTCATGCACAAGCCCAGCAGCTTAGTCTGGATGGGATTATAAACCAACGCTAAACAAAAAATGAACATCAATTTGAAACTACACGCGACACCAGATGGTGTGAAAATGCATAGCTTATTAATTAAGAACATTCATCACATTCCTCCGTGCGCCCCTATAAGCAAAATCATTTAAATTTAGTTGAAAAGTAGAAAGTAGGAGATTGTATATGCAAACGTAAAACGAGAGCAGCGACGGTCCCTGTCACTCACTGAGGGTGAGGAAGGCATGCCGGGAGGTGGTCAGCACGAGCACTTTGCGCAGGAGGTCCTTGGTGAGGATGTAGTTCTTGATGTGATAGGTGTGGTGCTCCACGCAGAACGTTAGCAGTTCCAGGATGAGCGCCAGGAGCTGTGCCGTTTGGAAGTCGTCTGAAACAAGGGCGGTCGTTTATTCGGTGGCTACTTTGTTTGGAGTTGATTGTATGCTTTTTAAAAAAAATTCCTAACCCAATTTTATCCTTCAGTGTTGTGGCATGACACGAATGATCCATTAGGAATCTCGCACAGCATGTCAGGGAATGTCCCATGGAAGCGGATATAACAGAGCTACTTCTGAGTTCCCTTTAAGTGACCTCTGGCCATGTGACTCAAAGATATGTTTTTAATTGTCAGAGATGGAATGCGGAACCTAATTTAATTCGATTAGTTTTATGTTTAGTCAGTGGTGACCGATCAGAGAACATCAACTCACTTTCCGAGAGAATTGTGGTTTACCCATAGGTAACTGCCAGGATTCGAACCAAACATCGGCGTTGTCAGCTCAACTCTCTGATGTCTTGAGCCATCTGGCCACCTCTACTTTTACACATTGAAAAAAAACTGAGGATTGAGCTCATTGGTTCGCAATATATACAATGGCTCCAAACACCAATACTAATTGTTTTAAATGTTAATTAGACAGTTAATTACGTGTTCCTCAAAGATAGAGAAAATTATTGAATGTTACTGGCTAAAACGGTCACTGATTTCACCAAATTATTGCCGGATTACTAATATAAAAAACGCCAAGTTAGTGATAAACAGTCTTGTAACAAAAATATATATAACAAGCGGGAGAATTCTGCGCAGACCCCTCTCCTCATGAACCTAACAGATGAGTTACGGTTCCTGCTATTTTTGTTTAAACGATTGAATGTATATGAAACGTGCTATTAAACATATTTGTTGTCACAGCTGCTTCGACATGACAGTTGATGATCGATGTTTCATGATGGTGGATGAGCGTTATGATTTCCTGATTGTTCACCTTTGCAGAGACTGTTCTCTGTCGTGTTGGCAAGCAGTGGCGCTGAAAGGATGTGCATGCATCGCCTGTAGAAGAAGCTGAGGAATTCCGTTTTCTCCGTCTTCTAAAGAAAAACGTACAATTTCCACCAGTTCCATTAACTCCAACATCACGTATTCACAAGAGACTACCACCGTATGCCTGATGCCTCGAGATTACGACCAGTTCAATTGTTTCCTTATCTTTTCTAAGTGAAATGCAAGCAATAAATTCAGTAATATTCAGCAAAATTTACGTTAATCCAGCTTTGCTTAAAGCGCCCAATGATAAAAAAAAATACATGTGGCGTAGATAATGGAAGTAAATAGGATTAAGATTTTGCTTTATTTCAAGCTTAAATGCAACGTCTCAGAGCACTTTACAAAAGCAAAGAATAAAAAGTATTTGAAAAAAGATACCGTACATACGTGTACAATCACCCAATAAGCTTGTGGGTGCTTGCTACTACATACATGGATATACATTATGTGCACACAATTACCCGTAAGTGATCATGCACGGTTGGCTACGTACGGTGCGAAAGAAGTTCAACATACATACATTTAGGCAGCAAACGTTTAGGATTAATGCTGGAACATGTATATGCATCTGTGAGGTACATGCGGTGTGTACAGAACATGCCATGCATGTAATACGTGCAGTGAAAGTGTGTGCATGGTGTAGCTTATGTTTGGTGTGTTGCCTTAAGTGTGTGGTGCACAATGCGTGTACGATGCACTGCGCACTTGCGCTGCGTTCCGTTTGCGGAGTGAGTGGTGCACATCGGTGTCAGCGTTAGTGTATGTAGGGGCGTGTTCCTTGTTTGTGGTGCACTCTGCGGGTGTGCTACACATAGCGTGTCATACACATTCCACGTGTGCAGTGTGTGCGGTCCATAAGGCGTGTACGGCAAATTCCATGTACGCGGTGCGTGCCGTGTGGTGTGCACGGTGATTTCCACGCATGGTCCATGTGGTGAAGGTGTGTGGAGCGTTTGGTGTGGACAGACGCTCGCTTATTGTGTGTACGGTGTGGTGTGCCCGCAGAGTGCGTGGGGGATGCCCACGGTGCGAATGGTGGTGTGCTCCGCATCCGGGAGCGTTTTGTGTAAATCGTGCGTACGCTGTATTTCACGTTTGCTGTATGCGGCGTGTGTCGTGCGTGCCGGCGTTGCTGCCCTCACGTTGGCCGTTGCCATCATGTTCTCCGGGTCGACGAGCACCCTCAGGAGCCCCATGAGCTGCACGGCGCCACCCAGCTCCGGGTCTGAGTCGCAGATCATCTGCTCTATCAGCAGGTTAATGAGCAGGATATCCTGAAGTACCCACACACACACACACCAAGCAAAACAGGTCAGGGGATTCTCGCAAACGATACAATTACTCACGTCCCACCCTCCCCAGCCCCTTCATGAGTCAACAAGCCGTCACTATTTTGAGGTTTGGATTCAATTGCAGTTTCGTTTCTTTACTCTTTGGTTCCTTCGGTAAAGTCACGTAGGTAGAAAAATAAAATAAGACAAAACTAAAAATATATATCAAGACGATTCAATCGCAACACAAGCGGTCATCCTCAGATGGAAAAAAATAATCCAGCAGTGAAACTGCTAAAGTCAACAGTGGAACTGCTGACTTTACCGAAAGCTTCAAATCAAGATTTCGTTTCTTTATTTGTCTGTTTAAATCGTAGTCTTGTTTCATTAATATAAATGTTACATTATCAAATAGTTTGCAAACATTAATTATATATAGTGTCATGCCTGTAGGTCATGCACAATATCTGTTAGAAGTGTAATGATTCATCCCACTATAATTCAGTGAGTTGCTATAATTTAGACAGTTACCCTTCATAAATAAACTTTTTTCAGCGAAAAATCTCATGACCTATGCTAGTAAATATATTATTAATAATGCATATTATTGGAAAGTAATACATTTTTTTGGAGTGGTGGCATAGTGCTTAGGGCACTGTGCTATGAACCCAACGACCCAAGTTCGATTGTCAGTCAAGGCTGACATCAGTGGCAAATGACATCAGTGATATCAGAACTAGTCCCGGTCCCCCCTTCATTCACCCTCACAGACTAGTGATGATGACAAACGGTCAAAGAACGCCCACGACCGTCACCGCGTGGCGAGGTCATCATCCAACAGTGGATTGATAAAAAAATCTATAGAAACCCATCCTCAGACACGCGACTCGATGTGCGTACGGCCGCCGTGTAAAAAAAAAAAACCCCAAAATCGCCGGATCAAAACACGGCGTGTATGGACTCACGTCGTCATTCTGCTGCGCCTCCTGCATGACGAACTCGCGCACCATGGACGGGCTGTACTCCACGATGTACGAGAAGATGTCTGTCGCCACGTTCCGAACGTCCGGATCCTCCGAGCCCTGCAGCACGGCGGCCGTGTCGCAACGAGCGCACGCACACAAACGAGTCCGTACCGCTCGGGCACGTGCGGAATTGACAAGCGCGTCGGAACGTCCCATGCGCTTTTATGGCCTCGTTTGCAATTTACGTGTTTATTCAAATTAGGTGTCGCTTAACACCACACAAGCTGTTTGGAAAATCGATAGGATAAAAAAGATATTTCCAAAACGAGAAGACAAATCTTTTCCACGTACTCCCTATTTTGTTGAATAATTGCGCTTTGGAATGCGGTAACAGGATTCAATTGAAAATTAGCTGTATGTGAAAAAACTGTCCAGTTATGAACAGTTAGAATCAGAAGGCCACTGCAAAAACAATACGCAAGTCAGAGTACCCAGTACCAGTCGCCTTTGTTAAAGAAGTCAAATTATGTTTTGTAAAATGGTAATTTACTCTAATTGTACAAATAAAAATCTAAATATTGATTTAAATAAGTGGAGTTACTTTTTACTTATAGAAAACCAGTGAACAGTTGTCTTGTGGTTATTTAATATCCACAATAGATTAGACTGCATACTTGGTAATTACTGCTCAGCTGTGGGAATGCAAAATGTTAACCAGTGCACTGCAATCTGACCACTCAATCGACTTTGGGTCTATTCATCACAAAAGCGAATGAAAACTGGTTCTTTAAATCCATTATAAAGTGCCGTGTTTCCATGGCGTTGGACAAGCCGTGCTTCTGTTGCAATGCGGTCGTGTTTACCAAGATGACTTCCAGTGCAGAGAGGACGCCCAGGTTTGCCAGCGTCTTAAAAAACGAGTCCCTGTTCTGTGGTTGAAGCGTTTGCGAGAAGGCACAGAACTCCTTCAGGAAATTAACCTGTTACAAAAAACGGACAAAATGTACAATGTTATATATATAAAACGAACCCGTGACCAGTCGTTAGGGCAACGACAACCACAAATAATCATGATCGGAAACCAATAATAAAGTTGTTAGTTCTTAAAAGGTGAACTCACCAGTTCCCGTCTCTTGTCGTCCTCCGTCTCAGTGTCGGTGAGTTGAGCAAAGAGCTCCGTTAGGAACTTCTCATCCTCCTGCAAACGGTGACGCGATTATCAATTTGTATTTGTCACTTTGATCGTATATCACAATCATCATCTTGATGATCATCATTGACTTACATAGTGCCTCAAGGCATTAAAAGAGTTTGGACATTGACACCCCACACGAGTAACAAAAAATCCAAGCATCATTAACAACATAGAACACAAAACCAAAATATATCTCTAAAGGCAGTGGTAGGAGAGTTTTAGTGTTCAAAACGCAATACTGAACTAATATTCTTCAGCATTATTTTTTTATTAGGACATCGTGAAAAAGCATAAAGCACAAATTCTGGCAGGACTCAAAACAATGCTCAGGATGACACCATTCAATGGCTAACCAACCTCAGTTTGAACATCTAATTGCTGCTCTATATCGGCAATAAAAAACAATAATTCGTATAGGTGGTTCCTGTACGCTGCAAGGTAGGTTACCCATTTGCTGATCTAACGTGCGCTTCCCGAATTTAGTGTTGCTTTAAATTTAGACTTACACTCACAGCCCTTGCATTTGAAACGATCGCGATTTTACACGTGCGCCGCGGAAGGTGCCGTTACAAATAAAGACGATCGATTGTGATACACGACACAGGGATGCCGAATTGTACCTGCAGCATGCCGACGATCTCCACCTTGTTGAAGAAAATGAAGGAGCTCAGCGTGGAGAGCATGTTCTCCTCAAAGATGGAAGGGGTGGGCAGCACCACGTCCTGAATGTACTGCACCCGGTACGTCTGGTGGATCTTCTGCCTCAACTCTGGATCCCTGATCGGAATCACCTGCACACGCGACAACGTGGCACGTACGGCTTTCGTTTTTAATTCACGTTCAATATTAGGAAGTCGGAGTATTCGATCAACAAAAAAAAGTCACGGCTGTAAAAACCCACTTTATAAGAGTATAGCAACTTATTAGGCAATCAATCGACTCGTCGATAAATAAGCTACAAGCAGTAAATCATGTGTGTCAGCAGCTATTACTATTTATGCATATTAATACAATTATGTTACCTTCTAGCAACATGGAACAAGACAACAAGACTGTCAATACAAATGAGACCGTACACAAGAGAAGAATGTTTTTCAGAATTGTGACCCCCAAAGCATGACAATTCCTCACATCGTGAGGTGGGTAGGTGAACAATAACATGCTTACTACACATTTACCTAGAACCTCATGATAGCGTGGAGGGTTCTGTGTTACTATGAGATGTGAGAAGTAGACATGAGAAGGGAGGAAAGGCTGCAGAGAAAGAATTGTAACATGCGTACAATACATATTACATAGACCACACAACATACATTACAGGAACTAAAGTATAAACAAGACTAACTATATACAGTAAAACCTTGGATTGCGAGTGACTTGGTCTGCGCGTGTTTTGCAAGACGAGCAAAAATTTTAAATAAATATTAATTTGATAAACGAGCGAGGTTTTGCAATACGAGTAGTACCGTATACGCTTTGTCTGCCGAGCGTCACGTGATCACAACTGATATACGAGTGCTTTGGATTACAAACACGTTTCCGGAACGAATTATGCTCGCAATCCAAGGTTTTACTGTACATTAAATGCAATACTACGCCTGTCAATTTGGAGTATCGAGCACATGTGATATTTAATAACATATTTATCTATCCATTCGCCTTACCTTCAAAGTGTGGGATTACATTCAAGACTAGGCATTAACTAAGTTACCGGTTGAGCGATAAAATGTACTCTTTTGCTCACAATACATTCATCAAATCGCATGCGTAAGAAAATGATATACGCTTTATGTATATTGTATTGCATTTATGTTAAGCTGCAACATAAAAAAAATTGGCATGATACGTAAAGGCCAACGGTGGAAACAAGACAGAACAAATGAGAACCGTTAGGAAAGGAGAAAAAAATTTAAAAAACACAAACAATACAGGAAAAAATCAAACAAATACAAACTAGACATTATAAATGAGACAAAACAATCAATTATTGAATCAAATCATGACTGCATCATAACAATTAACACAATTTATGGTGGACGACAGTTGAATTGTTACATAACTCTCCAAGACCAATGCCTATGTTATTGTAACTCATCAGCTTCATGTTTATCGCATAACGATCAGACGGGAAGACTGCCATGTGATCGTCAGGGAGATGATGGAGAACGGGGGTGGGGGGGGAAGGCTCGATAGACGATTTGGCAGATCCAAGGACACGCACCTCCTTGAACTTTGCGATCTTGGTGAGGAACTCGCGGTGCCTCCGTGGGTGCGAGAGGGACGGGTCGAACTCCAGGCAGCCGACTACGTCCATGATGCAGTCGTCGGAGAACATCACCTCGAAGAGCGGCGTCTTGTTGAGCAGGAAGAGGCCGCGCACGATCTCGTGCAGGTGGTGCAGGCCCTCAGTGTTCTCCAAGTCCTCGCACACGCTGAACAGCTCCAGCAGCTTCTTCACGTAGCCTTGTTTCTACGGAGGCGACACGGACATGGGAATACTCATGTACAGCGCTATGAATAACAACCGATTTATCACCACCTTGTATCTAACCACGGGATGATGGCTTAGAGAACATAACTGTCCCTCCTGCAAACTGTCAAAGTCTGGAAAATTCGTTGGGTAATGCTCAGATCTCGTTTACAATCCCTGAACAAGTGGTGAAAACTAGACATTCTTATGACATAGGAGCATGTATTTATTATGGCTAATGACTGCGGTTGCGTACACCAAAAATAATAAGAAACTTTCTAATTTTAGTAATGCTTGCCTAAAAATTGCCAGGTTACAGTTAACTGTTGAATTCAAGTAAAGAACTGTTCATTAACGCAAGTAACAGAAATATTTAATTGGGTTTTTTATTTCATTATTAAACTCAGCTTCAAGGATCTCACAGGTATAATCTTACAAGTTTATCTTTCACTACCATAAGTTAAACTCTGGCGTATTTACATATCATGATTTGCCACATCAATATTCACGAAAATAAAATGAAATTAATTAAATGAAAAGTCTGAATTAAATAATGGTGCTCAATTGATAACTAAAGTATTAAAAGGCAAATTTAGCACGGTTGGCTACGTATTATGTGAAACAAGTTCAACATGCATACATTTCACAATCAATCACGATTTGGCAATAGTACTGCCAAATTATGTAAAGGATCCTATTAACCAAAATGACCTCTTCCAAACCTGGACATCGAGAGTACAGGAAGGAGTTTACCCAAACCACCAACCCATTATTGGACTCCATGAAAAGGCACAAGTGACAACAGTAGCGGGCTATCTAGCCCTTTACAAGTCTCCTCCACCATCTGGGCCTCAAACCTGCGGTGTTCGCCAGACCAAAAGGAACCGAGGACCTCCTGCCGATGAGGCGTTTAACCAATGCCACCTCATTATGGCGCTATGGAAGGTCCTTCAATAAAGGTAGATCTACAGGATTAAGTAGCTCTTTAAAAAATATTCGTCGTGGCCAGAGGCAAGTGGGCTCTCTACTGCCATCACACTACACTCACTGGCCCACAAATGCAAAGATCTTTCTCGAGCAGCACCCTCTTTTATCAGTGTGGGTGAAGGTCAGTGTTGCCAGAACATACAAACATAACTAAACAAAATACCAAATGAAAAAGCATATACATGATAAAGGTACCATTTATTTACATTATAATGCTTGCATACAATCCACATCGAAATTCAACCATATTTTTTGGGAGGGTCCTGTATTGGGAAGTTGGCACAATTCCTTTTCAAGGAGTGTATTGAATGTGGGATGAATATGACATGTCCAGGCAATTTCTGGCATACGACCATGCAACAGTTAAGGGTCAACACCTAAGTGTTCACAAAACACAGTTGTCATGACATATTCTGGCTACCTGGTAGTCCATTGCCTTTGAGAATTTAAAAAATCAATGTGATCCACCAAATTTTGCTTCTAAAGGACTGGTGGTATACCACCATGGGAAGAAACTAAACCCAATGATTAGAATTATAAACAAGCAATAAAGAAAGACAGTGCTAGTCTTTTGGACAGACAGACCACCCATGAAAGGAATGAGGAATTTTCGCCACAGACGAAAGTCCACCAATTGAGATAAGCGCTGCCAAACACCTATTTGAATCAAGACTCACTTTGTTTGAAGCTAGATGAAGCCACAACTGAAAACAATATGTGCCATTATAAAGTAGATAAATACCTGATATGTATGTCCAACACTAGTTTGTAGCCTCATTAATAGTCAAACGCATCATTGTAATATTTTAATCTTGAGTTGAAGCTTTCGTGACTGCAGAAATTCATAATAATCCGAAAGAACCAAAGAGTATGTAATATTTCAGTGATGTGTGTGAAATCATTTCAACACACATTTCAATAGAATGCCAAAGCAGTGCTGGCAGTGCAATACGACAGAGTGCTAGAGTATGGTTTTTACATTTTCCTTCCTCAACAAAGCTTAAATATGTCAGACAGCCAAGAACACACGCATATTAGGTGCATTACATATCTACAAGAGCTACTGGTCATTTAGGTTGGGTCTTCATAAACCCTAAATCAGGTAATCTTGGGTCCAACTGAACCCGTGCGTGCTACTGAAAAGCCCGTTTCACAACATGACCCGACAGATTAAAAAGAGAAAATCCTAATCTATGGAACTCAGAGGGCTGCAGCTGGGCGGGTGCCAGAGAGAGAGAGAGACCTCACCTCAATGGCGGTAGCGAGCCGCTCGCGCCGTATAGGCGACGGCAGGATGGAGGTAACGAGCGCAGCGAGCTCGCCCAGCCGGCCCAGCTCGCATGGCGGCAGGTCCACGCACGCCGACGTCACAGCGGGCTCCGGAACATCTTCCAGGCGCTCCTCCTCAGACTCCTCCTCGCCCACGTCCTGCGTGATGTCCACCGACGGGTCCTTGCCTTGAACCTGTGGTGGCCGACATGCGGCGCTCAAGACCCACGGGTCGGCCTTCCTCGGCAGTTCTTCTGCGTAGACCTTCCCGACGGGCCTTCTCGAGGGTCCCATATACAAGCGGATGTAGACATTACATCTGTGTATGCAGTGCACCGTTGAGAAACTTTAATTGCGTTTTGCTGAGAACCACTGCTGTTCATGTGGATGTCACTTGCACTTAATTAGAGTAATTAAACATTATATTTGAACGTTAATATTATTCGTGCAATAGAAGCTGGATATAAGCAAACCTAACGTGAACACGGTTATGAGATAAGAAACACATCCTTACATTAAACTGGTGGGAGGGAAGGCAAACTTATAATACAAGCACACTACTGTGTATATAAGCATACAATGACTTCCACCCAAAGAGTGTGCTTATATCCAGATTGTACACTATTTAAAATTATAAATTGCTACTGTTTTGTTTACTGTTGTAAATGTGCTACTGATAATCATCACTTGCAATCTTTGCAGGACATTCTGCTTGCAAGTAAAAAAAAATATTGCAAACCCACGTTCGAACAGCCACACAATTAACATAAAAACAAATTTAAAAAACTCGAGACATCACATTCAACACATTTACTCATTTTGCAGTGTCATACCTCACAGATTTTCTCCCAAATCTCGTCACACCCAGCTTTTTCCTGGAAGCTCAGGGCCAAATCGACGTTGTCCGCCTCCGACCAAACTATGAGCGTGTCCTACAGTGGCAGAGATCGCCGAAACATCACGAATGTAACCGGAAATGAGAACACGGAAATTGGTTAATTATGTTGATCAAGAAAACATGTTGCAAAAAAATAACCAAACTCCATCTTATTTTCCTTAAATCAACAAGTACATGTGTTTTGACACACTAAACAGCAAAAAATAATGTGCTATCATCTATATCTGTTTTGTGGCACACATGACAGGCAGTTTATGGAGATGACAGGAACAGCATACAAACTGTCAGGCCATGCCGAATACTGGACATTCCATTATCTATTTTGTCTTGAGAGAAAAACTTTCCAAGCTGTGGTTATTTTAAGCTTTGCTTCACATGTGGAAGCAGGTGACAGCTTATTCCACGACTTCCATAAAAAGGACCTCAACGTCATACATTTTAAATGCCATAATCGTTTGGCTACTCGTTGTCCCCAACCAAAAGAGGTCCTGCTTTAAATTTACTAGACTGCAAAAAAATACATTCTATTCCTGAAAAAATGTTAATGCCACACAAAGTAAAATGTTAGGTAGTATTAAGTAACTATAAGGAAAGCATTTACAAATACAAAATACTTTTTTTGAAAAGTAGAAATGGTCAGTGACAGTCAAGTCTCAATGCAATGAAACGTTATGCTGATGAGAAACCAACAGGGTAGAAGATGGAACCTGAAACGAATGGCAGGTATTTCTTGGAAGCCAACAAGAAAAAAGATATACCAATCTTCCACCAAACCTGAGCGGTGAAAAAACAATATTTGAAGCCACTTGCCCACCATGAAATGAGGCGATGTCATGTGGATGACAGTCAAACATCATGATCCTTTATTTTTAACCCAAAAGTGTGAATGTACTGTATTGATAAATGAGACTGTTCTTTTGTTAGATATGGAGTTCCTTTTCAAGCCATCCTTGAATACGAGTCAAAATGAGAGGCATAAATGCAGCATTGTTTAATGTTCAATAAAACCAAGGATTACATGTGACCTGTATTAAATGCAGCATTACATGATGCATTTCATTGCAGTGTGACTTGACGAGGGAGATTAAATGTGAGTTTCTAACCAGTGGCATAAAAACTCTTCAATGAAAATATTTACATTATATATAATGCTTAAGCCTAAACACTTACATGTCATTTGAGGTGTTTCCTGAAATCAACCATAGTTGTTGTTCAGGGTATTTTTCAGGCCATTAAAAACACTTCTTTCCCCCCTCCCCTCGACACAAGTTCCATCTTGCTGGGCTAACTAGGTTTAGCAGTCGTGCACAAAGTCCGAAATCCGACTTTCGTTTTGGTGGCAAAGAGGCACGGTAATGTCGCAAGCATATCAACCCCCCCGCCCCCCCCAAGTACTGACAACAAAAACAAAGAAAACCCACCGATGTGTAGTCTGTTTTGTACAGCATCTTGAGAGTGCTTGCATTTAGACGCAGGTAACTGTACACCCAATTTGTAAACATAATTCCCAGACTATTATCAATACATTTTATACGGTGACAGCCGGTGAAGAACCTCTGCTTTTTCTGTAGGCCGACTAAAAAATTGTTGGTGGCTAATGTATTGTACTCTGTTTAAAATAGAATTTCGTAGTCTTCTATTTTTTTGAATGCACATTATGTACTAAATTTCGCGGTACAGCCAATTCAGTCAAGCGAACACAATTGTCTCGAAATTCAAAGTGAGCCTTGACAAAACGCGTATACTTTATCGGCTGGTACACGGATTAAAAGGTACTTATTACAGTCAATGACTCGGCTCATAAACTGAAATGTACCGGACAAACTACCCGTTCATCTACCTCTGATTTTTTTTACACAAAAAACGCAGCATATTCCCACCTGTTGTTTTTGGTAAGCCGTATCCTGCTGAATCTTGGACTCTAGAAGCACGGAACCTGAAAATATTTAACATGAGGCGATCGTTGATTAGAACAGTAATGATGGTAATAAGTTAACAAGGCAGTAAGTAGTACACGGCACAAATGACACAATTTCACCAAGCGCCAGGGGACCAGTGGACGGTTGCATAAGGTACCTTAAGTGACCTAACCCTTCTCAACTTACACTAATTAAAATGGCAAACTACGATCAAATGTAGGTGGTTTATGCAATCAACCACACGAGTAAACACTTTTGCAGCAATGCATTTTGAAACAATACACCACGAATGGTTATCAATACTCTTAATATAATCACGGACCGATCAACACACGGCTTACAACTCCTGCGACATTATCAGAAGACGCAGACACCATAGCCTCGGCTTTCATATCAACATGACACATTGTTCAACACCGCCGCGATAAACACGGAAAATAATAAAAATATTTTCACAAAACCGCCCGCGGCCTACCGCTATCACGCACACAACGACCCTCAGCTAGCGGCACCGCGGGAGGCCCACACTCGGGTTCCCGGCGGCCGCGCCAGGCGAGAACAGGAGGGGCTCTCGCATTCTAACAAAAGACCTCGGATATTTAAAAAAATAATAGTAATGTTTCGCCCGCGAGCAGCAACACTCTGCGCAAAACAAATCAATCTTCAATGAAAACAACAAATACCGTCTGATTCAGCGCGAACGAGCAGGGACATCCCCTTGAGCCGCTCCACGTAACTCGAGGAGACGTGGCCCGTGCCCCGGTCGTCCCACTGCCGGTCCTCGTTCAGCGTGTACAGCTTCACACGCCTCCTCGTGTCCATGGCGTCGCCTTCTCGTCTCGTCGCTCGTCGCGACGGCAACCGCTGTCGTCGGTCCGCTTGTCGTTCGCGCTCGGACGTGAGGGCCAAAACGACGAAGACGACCCCGGGCCGCTCACCACGGTCGCGCCGCCATCTTGGCGCCTCGGCCTCGGCCGCTTCATCACGGCCTGCCCCCCCCCCCACCCCGCGGGGTTTCCCGGCCCCGGCGGCAGGGGCGAGTTGGCGGGACATTCAAACTGCCGGCCCGCTGGTGGCCAACGACGTGGGGTGCACGACGGGGTTGGTCAACGGGGAGGGGGGGCACGACGGGGTTGGTCAACTGGGAGGGGAGGGGGGGCACGACGGGGTTGGTCAACGGGGGGGGGGGGGCACGACGGGGTTAGTCAACGGGGGGAAGGGGTGCACGATGGGGTTAGTCAACGGGGGGAGGGGGGGCTCGACGGAGTTGGTCAACGGGGGGGGGGGGGGCACGACGGGGTTGGTCAACGGGGAGGGGGGGCACGACGGGGTTGGTCAACTGGGAGGGGAGGGGGTGCACGACGGGGTTGGTCAACGGGGAGGGGGGGCACGACGGGGTTGGTCAACTGGGAGGGGAGGGGGGGCACGACGGGGTTGGTCAACGGGGGGGGGGGGGGCACGACGGGGTTAGTCAACGGGGGGAAGGGGTGCACGATGGGGTTAGTCAACGGGGGGAGGGGGGGCTCGACGGAGTTGGTCAACGGGGGGGGGGGGGCACGACGGGGTTAGTCAACGGGGGGAGGGGGTGCACGATGGGGTTAGTCAACGGGGGGAGGGGGGGCACGACGGAGTTGGTCAATGGGGGGGGGGCACGACGGGGTTGGTCAACGGGGGGGGAGGCACGACGGGGTTGGTCAACGGGGGGTGGCACGACGGGGTTAGTCAACGGGGGGGGGGGCACGACGGGGTGGTCAGCAGGGGGGCCCAATGGGGTGGCTAAGGGGGGGCACAACTGGGTGGTTAACGGGGGGCAATGGGGTTTGGGGTAGGCAAATGGAGCCGCCCCACCACCACCCCCCCCTGCACTGAGAATGATTGGGGCCCCAGTATTGCCAACTTCAAGATTTTGTCGCTGTATGTGTGTGTGTGTGATTTATTTGTTTTCGCGTGGGCGAGAAATATTCAGACCTTAAGCTGCTTTATAAGGGTGAGCCGCGCGAGGACCTTTGTGTATGTGTGCACTGTATGTTGAACTTCTTTCGCACCGTACGTGAAAAACAAAGTGACGGCAAATAACCCGTAAACACTGCAGACGCTGAATAGCAAACGCATCGGAGGATAGCAACACTCAAACCACGCACAGTTCAAGTAACACCCGCAGGCAACACAAAAATATATAGCGCCCCACCTCGCGAGGAGTTGGTTCACCACAATGTTCATGAAGGAATTTGAAAAAGGTCACGGAAGGGAGGGAGTTTTTTGGCGAGATTTATGGGTTTACCTCACGACGAAGTTGTTTTTAAAACTCGTGGTGACAAATACGGTACCGCACATTTCTGAAACAAGAGGGCGTGCACATTTAGTAGCGTGCATGGCTATGCATTTAGGATTCTGTGTGAGGTTACTATGTTTCATACTGTGTGTTGACAAGTGTTTTTGACTTCAGGTGTAACGAGCAACATCCAGCCACTTTTCGAGGTTCGTTTGACAACTTTAAAGCCTTCAGAAGTTGAGAAAAATGTCTGGGGGTGAATGTGGTGAATGAGGGATACGGTGTGGGCTTAGTGACTTTGGGTGACTAAACTAAATGGGATGCACAGATGACTGGAGTGTCTGATGTCATCCCTCAGGCTGGTTGCAAAAAAAAAACACCTTCCTGGAAATGTTTCTCAATTAGGCCCGCAATCAACATGTCGCTCACGGGCAGTTTATAAGTGAAGCTCGATAAATAAGAAGTGGATTTTATAACTTTTGTATTTGAGACAGCAAAAAATATATCTGCACTTGCTCCCTGGCAGCAGAGGCAGACACGGGTACTCCTGGCGCGCTCACATGATTCTAAATCCAACACTCCACACAGTACAGCCAGCCACGAGCGAAGTGACCGCGTTAGCACCGTGCGTTAGCACCGTGCGTTAGCACCGTGCGTTAGCACCGTGCGTTAGCACCGTGCGTTAGCACCGTGCGTTAGCACCGTGCGTTAGCACCGTGCGTTAGCACCGTGCGTTAGCACCGTGCGTTAGCACCGTGCGTTAGCACCGTGCGTTAGCACCGTGCGTTAGCACCGTGCGTTAGCACCGTGCGTTAGCACCGTGCGTTAGCACCGTGCGTTAGCACCGTGCGTTAGCACCGTGCGTTAGCACCATGCGGTATGTGGCCACCAGTACATTTTGTAACCCGTCTCAAAGGGTCCGGAAATGCGGCCCTGCTGCAAAAAAAAAGATGTAAAAGAGAAGATGAGAGACGTGTGATGTTGTATGGAACAAACATTAAGTGGTTGGGGTGACCAGTGTGGCCTTGACTGGCTGGTGTGGTTACAGTGCAAAGTTCACAAGTCATGCATCTGGGCCTCAGATTCATTCAGCGTGTTTCTCACGTTCTCATGGCATTAATGCCGATTCTACCTTTTCAGCAAGTGGAAACTGGTAGTAAATATCAAACATATTGAATTCCATCTCTCACATCCCTTGATATAGGCAATCTCGTGGATTAGCCAGTTCCAGGCTTATAAGCTCCTGTGGCTGGTTGATGTACCGAGTTGCTAGGGTATTCTCTGACCAGTGTGGTCCGTGTGGCTTAACATTGTTGAGGTTGTCAGTGTCATTTGGGTGGAGCGGTTTAGGTTGGTCATCAGCGTGGCCCTTGCGGTGCCTGAGGAATATTGAGTGAAATGGGTTTTGGGGTGTTCCTCTTGGTCTGAGTGATTGGGGTTTATTGGTGTGGTCAGTGTTTTTTTTTTTCATTCAAGGAGCTCACTTTGAACCAGATTACAGCTGGGATGGCTTGAACACAAGATAGAATCATAATTTTTTCCAGTTAAAGAAGATATATCCCGATTAATTGGTCCATCATGTGTAAAATACAGCACTGATAAGAATAGCAACAATTGTACTGAACATGTCGCAAACATTATGAATAATTGTTTTATTCCAGTGCTGACCACTTTTGAAAAAAATGTCGCAACACCTCATCCACAACAGCAGTGTACACAAAATTCTCCCCCCACAGTGCTCTATGGTACACCCTGATTTAATCTAATTACTAACACCGTTTCATAACTGAAATCTCCAAAACAAGTTAACATTTCAGACCAATGTGCCTTGACAGCAGAAACGTGACAAAAATTTGCAACATTAGCAATGTGGTAGTTTAACAATAAAGATTTGTACCGTGACATTTAAAAATACACGTTTGGTATATGAACAATTACGAATCAGTACACATTATGTAACTAATAAATCGATGTGCAGTCTATAACATATTAGAGTATCTCTTACCGTGCAAATAAATTCACGGATTTTATAGTTCAGATGGGAACAAGTGCGACATTAATTTATTGGTTCTTCCCGTACAGCAACAAACAAGTGAAGACTGCCACATAAACCATTTATCAGGCAACCAAGACCATTATCAAAATGCACAAAGCAACTATAAAACAATGTGCGTTTCACTCAATAATGCTTCAACCGGAAGCTTTAAATGTACACTGCTACACAAATCTCACGTAGTTGAATCGCAAACATAACTACCACATACAAGCTTTCAGCCTCAAATCCAAGTTGTGAAATAACCAAGAATATCTTTAATAAACACACATTCACACAAACCCCGCAAGCTGTTGATATATAACAATTTCATTCACATTCCTTTGTAATTTCAGTTGATATATGTACAGAGTATATTCTATATTAAAATACTGAGCGACAAGTTAACACGACCACCGGCAACAATAACGTTAACCCATATTATTTTCTTGACCAAACAAAGTATGTGGACATACTGGACATGTGAAAAAGAGCTTCATAGCTCATCAGATTGCTCCAGTCTCAATAAAGATTCTGATTTTGATGTGCGGGAACGGACACCCTCAGTGCTCAAACCATGTCAGAGGCCACAACAGGTTTTACAATCACCTTCGCAAGTCCACACCGAACCAAGAAATCACTCAACTTGGTAGGAAACAATCATTCTCACCCCAGCAGTCCCAACATTCTTGACTGGGGATAAGTCCATTACGTGCGCGATGAATAAAACAATATTTTTACTCCAGGCTGAATCTGCTGTAGAAATCAGATATTCATGCAGAAGATTTTTTTGTGACAGAGACGGCCGAGGACGAAGGTTGATGCCCACATGTCCAGCGGCGACAGAAGAGTGGACTCCAGGCGGATGAGTTTGACAAGCAAGAGCAACATGAGGTTTCAATTATGCTGCTGTGACCACATTTGGCCACCAGTCCCATGATGTAACACCGCAGCGCGGGGGGGGGGGGGTTCGGCAGCGCTACTTGTCAGCCTGCATGGCCAGGGGCCTGTCTCCGGTCATGGAGATGGGCTGGCGGTCTTCGAGCGTCTTCGCGGGAGATTGGGAGCCCATCGCCATGAGCACCTTGCGTGAGAGACGCATGCGGCCGTCCGTTGGGTCCCTCCCAAAGTATTTCACCTGCCGGAATGCGAGAGAGGGTCAGGGTTTTACGGTGGCATTACCATTGGAAGAGCCGCACTCACTAGAAGATGCAACCCAAAAATCCAACTGCTTTTGTAGATACACCCCGAGGCTGTATGTCGAGGGCTCTCCAACATGAGTTTGAAGCTTCATTAAAACATAAAAGGTGCAAATCTGCAACGTCTTGCTCATGCCACTGATGGCAGAAGGGCCTTGTCTAGAGGGAGCTCTAGATTGTCCCTCTGGAGGGTATTTTGGCTGACTCTTCCACGCTGGCCTGAGGGCTTTGAAGAAATGGGAGTACCCACAATTTACCCCATCACACTGCCGATTGATGGTGGTGAACCCATTTACACTGCTGGCTGAGAACAATGGGACCCCTATATGTCTCCTTGAAATCCTCGCTTAATCTCAAAAAAATTATTTAGGAAGGTCCTGCACCAGGAAGTTTGGCCAATTAATTATTAAAGAGCGTTTGGCTTCACGTCAGAGGAAACTAGAGTGCCAAGACAAGGGGAGAGCAGGGCTCACCTGAAGTTGCTGTCCCACCTCAAGG